GCCCTCTGGAAAGATCGAGAGAGGACATGTAGGAATTAAATGTGGGTGTTAGGGAGGGAAATAAAAAATAGCCAGTGGTGGCGCACGCCTTTAATTCCAGCACTTGGGAGGCAGAGGCAGGCGGATTTCTGAGTTCAAGGCCAGCCTGGTCTACAGAGTGAGTTCTAGGACAGCCAGGACTACACAAAGAAACCCTGTCTTGAAAAACCAGAAAAAAAAAAAAAAGAATAGCCAGTTTACACAGGACATGTGATACAGTTAGTATGTCATAAAAAAAAAAAATGTCGGGACTCTACTGTTCATAGTGATCACCCTCAGCTAGTAAAGAGTGCCCGCTATGTATGAACCTCCTTTAAGTTTGGAAAGACCACTGCACAGGCAACTTTAGGGCATCATAAGAGAATGAAGAGAGATATGGTTGTCTGTCCATAAGTGAATGATCTAAGGTAGCAGTTCCCAGAAGGACCAGCCAGGTCAACACACGAACCACACCTAGTGAGGTCATTAAAAGGTCATTCGGATATCATGGTGCCAGATTGGAGGCAGGGGTGAACTGCAGACTAGTTGGGTTGGTTATTTCCAGCATTTCTCCAGACTAGAAAGGTAAGGAATTCTGGGAAAAGAAATGGGCATGAAAGGTGAAGACATACAGAGGTCATGGTGTGGTGGGTGAGCAGCCCATAGAACAGCAGAGTTGTAGAAGAGACATAAGGTTCCCCAAAACAATCTGGCTGCTTGCTACCTGTGCAGACTGTTAAAGTGAAGTCACCTGGAAGAACCTTGCTATTCTATACAAACCCCACCTCAGAGACAAGAAATAACTGGACACAGGCAGCTGAGTAGTAGTCATGCTCAACTAATGACCATATCCAAGTAAACTGCTGGAGACAGGAGGATAGAGGATTCAAAGTCCTCCTTGGCTACACAGAGAGTTCAAGGCCAGCCTCGGCTGCATGAAATCCTCTATCCAAACAGACAGATAAGCAAAGGATGATTAGCTCTGGTATAAAACCATGGTTATGTTCCTAAGGAACCTCACAACATTAAGAAACACTAAAAATAGCTATGCAAGATAGAAAAGGAGAGCTGAGGCTGTAGATAAAACTAGGCCATTCTTCCTGTAGTAGCTCACAATGAAGAGTTGAATTTTGTCACTAGCCACAAATATTAAAGGTCTGGACCACAGACCAACAAGAGAATCAAAAGGAATAACCTAGACAGCAAGAAAAAGTAACCTGTAGCCAGTTCACAGCCACAAACAGCACAGAAAAATCCTCCTTTCTGTCAGCGGGCCTCTGGCCTCCTTCCTTACCCTCCTAGGTGTGCCCAAGCCATGAGTAGCCTTCCTTCCTTTAGTCCTGGGCTCCCTCTGGGTGCCCCTTCAAGTCCTAAGGGTGCAGAAAGCTCCCATTCAATTGGTTCATAACAGCCAGTGCTCTCTATGCAAATTTCTGAGAGAGGCTAATTAGCAATTTGTTTAAGGTCTCCAGCAGCAGATAAGATCATGAAAACAGCACTCTGTTAAATGAGGACTGCTTGTGATGTAACAGCCCCATGGCACAGCCCACTACTTGTTTTAATTGGCATCGTGCCATCTTAACCCAGGCAGTCTTTGAGCCCAGTCAGTATGCCTATTAATATCAGAAATAACTTTCCCAGCAAGCACTTCTTCCCCCTAAGGAGAAAGACAGGAAAGGAAAATGCTCCCTGCTCAGACCTCTATCTTTCTCATTTGCACCATGGGCTGCCAAATGTGCCAGCTCAGCCAAGACTGTAATGAGGAATCTAGTGATGAGCTCTTAGAAGCATCGTCAGGGGCCTTTGCTTCAGAGAGGGGGGTAAGATAACAATGCTGGCTGAACTGATGGCCTGACCTAATGCTGCTCTCTCCTGGAATGCCCTTGTGCTGTGTCCCAGGCACAGCAGACAGGATTGGAGCGAATGGTCCATTTCTGCATTGTTCACTCACTAGCAAAGGCAGGTTACCATGACTACAAGACCACTCAGCTTCTGTGTAAGAGGGCAGCTGGCAGGCTACACTTGTCAGTCAGTGATGATCCACAGTGCACTTTAACAGGAGCCAAGAAAAACAGGAGCACACTTTTCGTTTGTTTCAAAGGAATTTGAATTTGTTTTCTTTATGTGCAAGACAAGGAGGGAATCAATGTGGTATTTCTTAAGGCAATGATTTAGGCAAACCATCTTGTGATTTGCAAGAAAGGCTAAGGTTTCTGGTGATTACAGCGCCATCTACACAATCCACAAGAATCAAATCATTGCAGATCTGAAAAAACAAAACAAAACAAAACAAAACAATGTCTATGCAAGGGTCCAAAAATGCCAGTGAAATTTAGGATCCCAAATAAGCCAGAAAAAGCAAACCTTAATGTCTGTGGTTAAAAACTGGGCATTTTGGGTCAGCAGAGTCTTAGCAGTTATGAATGGTTGTTCCTCAATTCTGAGGGTTGGCATTCAGATCCAGCACCATGTGGCAGCTCTCAGAAAACTAGACATTTTGTTGCTAAATTGTTCCTGAAAGTCCCCCTTTAAAATGCAACCTTGGCATTGGAGCAGCAGAGATAGGCTGATCTTTGTGAGTTCTGAGCCAGCCTGATCTACATAATTGAGTTCCAGGAGAGCCAAGCTACATAGTGAAATCCTGCCAAAAAAAAAAGAATAAACAAACAAACAAACAAAACAAAACAAAAGAAAGTTCCATCTTCTGAGGGCAAGGTGGGCATCCAGGAAGTTTGCTTTTCAGCCTGCTGTTCCATATTGTCTTAGTCACTGTTCCATTGCTGTGAAAAAGCACCACGACCAAGGCAGCTTCGAGAAGGAAGTATTTCACTGGGAGCTGGGGAACACACAGTTTCATTTTGTTAGTCCACAAGTTGCAGACAGAATAACTGTGAGAGTAGACCTGCCAGGCATGGGCTTTTGAAACCTCAAAATCTACCCCTCCTCCTCCAGCAAGGCCACATCTCCTAATCCTTTCCAACAGTTCCACTGAGGACCAAGCATACAAACACACGAGCCTATGGGGGCCATTCTCATTCAAAACACATGTTTATCAAGAAAAAATAAAACATGTCATCTAAAAAAGCTTGCAATTGACATCTCAGAATCTACTAACAGAGCTGGGGAGACAGTTCAGTCAGCACTGGCTTGCCTTGCAGTCATGAGGACCTGATTAGAATTCCCTGAACTCATTCTAAGATGCTGGGCAGGAGTACACACATGTAATGCCAGTGCTAGGAAGATGGAGACAGGAGGATTGCTGGAACTCACTGACCAGCCAATCTAGCCTAAATAGTGAGCTCCAGGGCAGTGAGAGACCCTGTCTCAAAGGACCTGGGCAATATTTCTAAGAAGCTTGTCCAAGGCTGTCTAATGTGAACATGGTTAGCTACATACTCATCCACATACATGAATATACACATTCAATTTTTTTTAATCTACTATTTCTCTGAATGTACATTCTAGAAAATGACAAACTGTGGGAACAGTAAAGAGAAATGGTTGTTAGAGGCTGAGGTTGAAGGAGAGGACAGGAAGAGTGAGTAGGCAGAGGAAAAATTGTCAAGGTGATAAAGCTATTCTGTGTCACCTGGCTGTGCTATGACTTGAAATACCTCCTACAGGCCCCCTGATCTAAATGTCTGCTCTCCACTGGTAGCAAGGGTTGTCCTGGATGGTTGTGGGTACTTAGGGTGACACTTAGTTGGGAGAAACAGGTCCTAGGGGGAGTCACTGGCCTTGGAAGGTTGTCCTTGCCCCTTGGCTCTCGTCTCTCTGCCCTGCCCCCATTCTCCAGAGGAACAGCCTTTGCCATAGTGTCCTGCTTTCTGAGAATCTAGCCAAGCCCATGGGTCCAAGCAACTAAGACAGAAACCTTGCAAATCATGAGCCACAGTAAACCCTTCCTCTTTTAAGTTTTTTTTTTTAATGAATATTTGGTCACAGTAATGAGAAAGCTAATCAACATAATTGATACAGTGGTCAATAGAAATAACTTTACATGTGTCCAAGTCCAGAGGTTGTACCCAGTAAGCACACCTGTGACCTCTGCACTTTGCTGACAGCAATAAGCGTGCCGCTGTGCTGGGGAGAACCATGCACGTGTGAGAGAGGATGTATACGGGAAATCTCTGTGCTTCCAATTGTGTCATGAACTTAAAAATGTTCTTAAAAGGAAGTGCTTTTATTTTTACATTTTATATTAATTGAACAAGGAGAATAGACTAACAATAGTCTTATAAAACCTGTTAGGCTGTTAGAAAAGTTCATTTCTGATTCCTTTATTTAAAACAGGCCTTCCTGTGATGGGAATGAACTTCATGAGTCACCTAATATGGTGGTCACTCTTAGAGAACCTGAAATACAGCCACCATGACTTAGGGCCATGGATTTTAGAGTTACATGGTCTTATATAACTGGTGGTACCATATTAGGTAGACTGCTCCAGAGCCTCATGGTTCTCCAGCTCAGAATGGAAACTGGATGACCCAAATTCTATTTCTGAGACCTGGCATAAACAGCATATCATTTACATTTCCAATCTCAAAATTCAGGAAAGAGGCACCATTTGGTACTTCAGCATCTTCTGGCCCAAATAAGCAAGTCTCCAGTCAACCGAGGAGAAGTGTTCCTACTTGCATATGACTAGAAATCTCCCCGTGCAGACTGATGTGGGGTAAGGTAAAATAACACTTAGGTATGTATGTATTTCAGAGAAAATTTCTTTAAATGCCTCCCAAATAACTCCACTGTTTAGTGGCACCACAGTAAACATGCTCCTGACATGGAAACACACAGAAGGGTGGAAGTCACTTTAACTACCAGTGGGTGGTGACAGGCAGTGGCAACACTGAGCTTGACAAAGGGCCCCTGTGCTACAGAATGCTTATTATCTTACCAGAGGAGATATTTTTGAAACAAAAAAATTCAAAAAGTAAAAAAATTAATACAGCATTAAAGTGAAGCAAAACTTTCACATTATTCAAAACACGGACTGTTTTATTACTTTACACGTCATCTTTGCACAGGTGCCATCCTAATCTTCTCTGGATCAATCCAATTTTAGTAAATGTGCTGCAAAGCAAAACCTAACTTAGCTAGTGAGCTAGCTAAGCAGGGTGAGGAACCTGCAGTCAGCCTGATGACCTGGGATCAATACTGGAAACCCACGCGGTAGGAGGCGAGAAGGACTTTCCTAAGCCGTCACTTACTGAAAAACAACACATCACACACACACACACACACACACACACACACACACACACAGACACACACCATTATGTATGATAATTTCAAAAAATTAGGTTGCAGGTTTTTGGTAAGAAGTCAAAATATGGTAACACATAAAACACATAAATGTAAAAACTTTGGGCTGGAAAGCTGTGTTAGGAGCACAGACTACTCTTTCAGAGGGCCTGCGTCCACAAAACCCACACTGGGTGGCTTACAACTGTCTATAACTTCAGTCATGGGGGATCCAATGCCCCTTCTGGCCTCTGTGGGCATAGAGGGATACATAGGAGAGCATTCATATACACAAAAGTAAGCATAAAAAAGGAGGACTCAAAGGCCAGCCAGGGATATTTGAGATTCAAAAGCAAAACAAAACAAAAACAATCACGAACCTTGAGTCAACCAATAGGGGCTGAGGAGGGAACTGAGGTGTGATGTTGGTGGCAAGGAGGCTTGGAAGAGGACTGTGTGACAAGAGCAGAGACCACTCACTGTGAGGGCTGGGGGCAGATGGGCCAGGTGGCAGGGGAGGAGAAAGCTGCTTCTTTCTTCTCAGTTAATTGAGGAGGAAGCAGAACCCTAGGAAGTGGATAACAGGACTTCACTTCCTAAACTGACAACAGCTAGCCTCAGATTTGAACAGGAGGGGGCACCACAGCCCAGTGGGCAGCCCAGCCCACAGCCTGAGGTCTGGTCAGGTTATATAGCAACCTAGCAGCCTTGAGGGATTTAGAGGCCACATCTTCAGAGATTGGTAGCAGTGGGGTCAGGCACCTCTACTTGCATGCCTCTGGTTTGCCAGGCTGCAGGACTCTGAGGATGGGAACTTCCCCATAGCAGCCCAACGATCCCATGTCCATTGCTGCTGTTCGTGCCCTGGGAATTCTCTTCTATGGTGCACTGGCAGTGTTGCTCTCTATGGCTTACACAATATGGCAGAAGTGATGCCCAGGTCCACATACTCATATTCTCTCTGTGTCCCTCTCTCCCTCTCCCCCTCCCTCTTTCTCTCCCCCTCCCTCTCTCTCTCCCTCTTTCTTTCTCTATCATATTTTGAGGATACTCTGATGCCCTAGAAAGGGGTTTCTGGAGAAGAACCAGAGGTTTGAGCTTCGCAGAAGCAGGCTCTCCACCTCGGCCTAGGCTTCAACTTCACCACCGAGGCAGAAGCATCTGGCTAAGCTAAGCCCGCCTGGTTTCTGGCCTCCAAAACTGGGAAACACATGTCACTTTGGTTCATTTGATTTAGGATAATTTCTTATTACTCCTGAGGGCAGCCAAACTCCCTAGCCCTCCACACTAAGTACACTACAGAAATCTTCACCAAACCATATCTTACAGGCTAAATAACAATGTTAGTCATAGATTTCCATACAGTTTTTAAAACCTCATAATTAGTATGTATACAATGGGTAGATCCATAATCAATTTTCTCAGCAGATGAAACTCAGATGGTGAGAAAATTTTCAAGACTATAAATAGCTATGACATCATCCAATACCTCAGCAGTACACCAGGCTGGCTTTTCCCTCACTAAGCTCTTTGTCCAAATTACCCCTGGAGATGAAAGAAAGACTAGGCTGACGCTGACTGGAGTAATGGCTTCTGCTATGAGAAGGTAGAGCCTACAGGCTAAGCCAGCAGACCAACAGTGACAGAAGTAAAGCCTGTGCTAGGTACAGCCAGCAGGTTACTATCACATACAACTCTTCACACTTTATTCAATAACTTGCTCATGTTTTTCATTTTGCTTTTAAAGTTCTTTTCAAGTAAAAACAGCTTCTATCATGAATATTTTATAATCTGTTATCCTGCTTATTCATCTCCCAAATGGGAAAGGCTGCCTTTACCTTACACTTCATCCCCAGGAGACAGCATGGTGCCTGGCATAAGTCCTCACTAACATCCACTAAATGAAGACACTGAGTTTGTCCAGCCAGACAGTCAAAGAACACCTGTTGAGTGCCTATGCATAGCAAAAGCTGACAGGTCTATAAAACTTAACATGATCTATACTTACATGTGCTCACATGGATTCACCCCAACACCTTTGGTTTGTGGCTTTCTGGTGTTTTTATCAAATTTGAGTTTTTTTTAAAAAAAATTTAAGATAGTTTCTCTATGTAGACCCGGCTGGCCTTGAATTTATACAGAGTCCCACCTGCCTCTGCTTCCTGAGTACTGGGATTAAAAGCATATGTCACCAAACCCAGCCTAAATTCTGACTTTTAAAAGTCACAGCACCTGTGCAAACAAAGAGAGCATTACTAGCTTTCAGCTACACAAACTCACAAGTCCTCATCTCATATTTGCTACTTTCTGTCATTTTTCGGGCATAAGCACAAAGGTTTAAACAGCACTTGTAGTTCCTGAGGCATCTGAAGTCAAGAAGGGGTCACTGGATGCTTACCATACTCCATGAGTTCAAAGTGATGACCAAGATGGACACTGTGGTTAAGCAAAACTGGGTTTGGAAAGACTCATCTTCAATATCATCAATTTTTTTTTATAATCAGAATATGTTTGCTTTAAAAACTTTAAAATTGGAAGAAAATACTGGAGTTTCTGTCAGGAGGAATGCAGCTTAAGTAAGGAAAGCACGGCTGATCGAGTCAAGAGCAATGAGCACAGGAACTGGCACACAGGCCGCAGTACCCAGGCGCACAGCTGTGCTCTGCAGCCTAGTTCAGAGGATGCTCTGTCGAGCTCTGTCTGGGTGTCTGCACAGAAATTTGCTTCTGAACCCTCTGTTTCCTGGTCTGTAAAATACTGACACGGGGGTCCTCTTTTGGAAGAGGGGGAAGATTACATGAGACAATACATTGTCCTTAGGCTATAGACCAAGTTCAAGGTCAGGCTTGGCTACATGACACCTTGTCTTAAAAACAGATACACAGTCCCAGGGCTGGAGGGTGGCTGAGCAGTTATGAGCACTTGCTGCTCCCGCAGTGGACCCGGGTTCAGTTTCCAGCACCCACAGCACAACTCCAACTCCAGTTCCAGGAGAGCAGTGTCCGCTTGCACTTACTTTCTCCTTTTACACAGAAAACTGGCATTTTAGTCACAGAACTCACTTGATAAGCAAAAGAAAATACACTAATTTACTTTTGTGTTTTCTTAACATTTATTTATTTTGAGGTCAGAGGACAATGTTGTGAAGTGGATTTTCTTCTCCTATGCCAGTTTTGGGGACTGAACTCCAATTGTCAGGCTTAGTGACAAGCACCTGTCTGAGCCATCTCCCTGGTCCTTTCCTAATTCCAGACAGATTTGTCCAGATTCTACAAGCGTATCATATTATTAGAGGCCTTTCCTGGTCATCTTATGTGAATTGAATGTCTTCCCCATCTCAGATGCTGCCCCAGCCCATCTCTAATACTGTTTATGAACTGGTCCCCCCATCTCTAATACTGTTTATGAACTGGTCCCCCCATCTCTAATACCGTTTATGAACTGGTCCCCCATCTCTAATACTGTTTATGAACTGGTCCCCTCCTCTCTAATACTGTTTATGAACTGGTCCCTCATCTCTAATACTGTTTATGAACTGGTCCCTCATCTCTAATACTGTTTATGAACTGGTCCCTCATCTCTAATACTGTTTATGAACTGGTCCCCTCATCTCTAATACTGTTTATGAACTGGTCCCCTCCTCTCTAATACTGTTTATGAACTGGTCCCCATCTCTAATACTGTTTATGAACTGGTCCCCTCCTCTCTAATACTGTTTATGAACTGGTCCCCCCATCTCTAATACTGTTTATGAACTGGTCCCCTCCTCTCTAATACTTTTTATGAACTGGTCCCCTCATCTCTAATACTGTTTATGAACTGGTCTCCCATCTCTAATACTGCTTTTGTTTTCCTCATAACATATCTGATACACATCTTCGTTTAATTGTCTATCTCCCTTTTCCATGTAGAATCTGAAAAGCTGGGATGGTTTGAGTCCTCATTTTATCCACTTCTCCCCTGTGCTGTGTACAGGGCCTGAAGACTCACTGGTGCTCAATCGCATTTCTTTGCTTTTCTTTTTTTGTTTGTTTTTGTTTTTGTTTTGTTTTGTTTTGTTCTTTTGAGACAGGGTTTCTCTATGTAGCCTGGGCTGTCCTGGAACTCAGTCTGTAGACCAGGCTGGCCTCGAACTCAGAAATCCGCCTGCCTCTGCCTCCCAAGTGCTGGGATTAAAGGCGTGCGCCACCACCGCCCGGCTTCAATCGCATTTTTTAACAACTAGATGAATAACACCTACTACACTGTAAGAAACCCAGTCATCAGGGGTCAGGTATATGTCCCAATATAATATGAAAAGAACTCAGTATGTTAGCAAGAAATAATATCCAGTGATAGTAATTCACACAGCAAAGCCAAAGCTCACTACCCCGGTAGCCAGTTTTATAAAGCAGGGAGACCAGGTTACTGAGTATCTCAGATCTAACAAACATGACCCATAACACTTTGTAGAAAACCCTCAGGGGTGGAAGGGAGGGACAGCCTTGGTTGTCTTCCAGAGTCCACTCAACACTGACAGTTCAAAGACTTCTAGACTCAACTGTATGCATAGACTCTGAGCAACAGTTATCAATATTTTTTACATCCTCTGTCTTGGCTAATAAGCATCCAACACAAGAAGCAGCTCAATATGCTAGCTCGCCCAGAATCCCTCCAGGCGCTGGCCTGTAGACAGGTGCTCGCCAGCCAGCACCGATCGAGAAAAACCAGGACTACAGAAGGCTGACTTTTATTTTGGGATTTTTCATTTTAGATATGCAAATATCAGTTCTTCCAGAAATAGTGATAGGGTTGTGAGGAGAGTGATGTTTTAAAGCTCTTCCCTTAGAAAATAAAAATATTA